GAGGAGCAGCCTAGCAATCGCACACCCTTCTAGAATTCCTCCAGCTATCCTACAAGCTAGAACCCCGATGTTAATCACTCTTCCACTGTCCACACACCCTCACACCAGACACACCACAAACGGTAGCTTGCCACCACCCAACAGTTTTATCCGCAGACTGGCCTGCTGGGCCACCACACACACACAGATCTCCGTCTGGCAGATCTGTTACCTTTACAATCTGCATGAAATCTGCCAACACGCAGTGCAATTGCATACAGATTGGCAATGAACTTGACCGAGTATATAAAGACACTGCAATACAAAACAATACAATCTCTCTGGAGATATGAGCCCGACCTTAAGTACCCAGAAGTCACTTATTAATTTTATGATTTAATATCCCGAAAGTTGGCAGTGCATAAATTAAGTACAAAGTATAAAAAGTTACAAAAAATACAAGAAGACACACAACTGGCTATTGACTATAAAATAAAAGGGAAAAAAAACTGAAATAAAAGTTTTACCAAGAGTTATCCTGCGACTGGAGCAATTCAGAGAAAGTCCGCAATCCGTCAGTCAATAGAGCTGGCTCCATACGAATCACACCGTCCATATCTCAGGGTCCTCAATTTATGGGAATATGGACGTAGGCTGGACATTAGCCCTTAGCCAGTCGACTCTGAGGGGTGTTCCTGTACCAGCCCACAGGACATTTTGGGTACTGAAATGCCCAAAATCGATTTGATCAGGAACGGTTTGAATCACCAAGTCAGGGATTGAATTTCCGACACCAGCGCATCAGTCCGATTGCGACAGTATCAATCACTGTTCAGCTGTCGCAATCAGGCGCCATATAACCATTTTCTGCATTTCTCTGGGATTCTACATAGGCGATAAATACAGTTTTACATGCAGGTGTAGCCTACAGTGTGTCCAATCAGAAGGAAGTATTTTCATCTCTCTGAAACTAATATTTTAGCTTTTATGAGAGATGAAATATTTTCCTTTGATCTGCTGATATATTTTAGAGCTCCTAGACAGATCGGAGCCCTCTCTTGGTCTCCCGCTGCCTCTGAAGCCGAAATGTCTAGAAGTAGGTGACAAGTCTTATTGGCATCTAGGTGTCACCTCCAGTCTAGAGGAAGCTCTGTCCCTTCAGATGCTAATTGGTGGCCATATGTCTCTGACTTAATTCTGAACACATCTTATATTAACATGGAATGAGCTAAATCTACATTGTCATATTTCTACAGATCACATCTCAGCTACTCAAATCTTTACATTTATGTCACATGGTCATTGAATCTCCCTCCCCTATATTCTGGAAACGTCTTCAAAAAGCAGGTGGAAGGAAACAAACATCCAGCTTAGGAAAGCTTGAACAAGCAAAACCAATAGACCACTGCGCTACTCACTACAATGAAGCCAAAAACTAGATTTAGCCTAGCATCCTCACTAAGGGATAGCACTACACCTACATATATTGGCTTAAAATGTAATTGATCATTATTTTATTATCTGTGGGAAATCTAATGCTGTCTGTACTGCCACAATCAAATACATAAAAACATCCAGTATACCAGTATGTACCAAAAAAACCCCATAAAACTTGTTAAGTTCATCCAAAGTGATCACTTACCTTAGACCTCATTCTAACCATCAAAATTAAACCCTTAATCTCAACCCAACCCCGAAACTTAACTGACCTCAGTAGTGTTTGGCATAGCTCTTTTTTGAAGATCCCACATGTACTTGTCTTTAGATTATATAACTTGCAGTACATAATACAAAAAGATCCTTATTTAAACTCAAAAGGGCGATTACGACAAAAAGGTATTGGCGTAAACTGCTATCACAAGACTTTGGGAAGATGTGATTCCAAATGCCAACCTTAATATAATTCCTGTAAACATTATTATACTGAGGCTGGCAACCAATACTGGACTAGTGGGTAAAAAACAATTCCATTAGCTATTTTCTTTGAGTATTGGGTTCCCCGTGAACAAAAAACGTTAACCGTAAAATCACAGCACACAAAAAAAGTAGCTGATGGGTAGAGAATAGGACCAACCTCTGAAGAGCAAGGGTGTCAGGACCTGGATCACCTGCTGATGACACTGTGCTTCCCAGAGCAGAACGCTGCAGTTTCGGTGTCCACCAGCAGGTGTCTCTCGGCAGCCAGCAGATTCCAGTAGTCAGTCTCCACCTGATGCTGGCTGCTGGGAGGGTATTTAGGTCCTTCCGTATTAGTTCCTCTCTCTCCAGTGTTTTGCTGCTGTAAGATTTTGTTTGCCATTTATCCTGAGCTTGCTCCTGCCCTCAACCCTGCTGCCTTGTACCTGCTCCCCCTTGTTCCTGATCCCCGTTTTTTTTCCTTCTTTTCTGCGTTTCCCATGTTGTATCTATTTTGTATATAGTTGGTTATTAGTAACATAATCTGTCACTGTTTGGTATTTGGATGGATTTTGTTTTACTGTAAATGATTCTCATTTAAAGGATACACAGTCTGGTTCCAGTCTCCTGAGTGCAGCCACGAAGATCTGGCCAACCCTGCTGCTGTTTCCTGACATAGGGCCTCAATCCCTCAGGTTTCTGACAGGGGCAAGGCATAACATGGTCTACCTAGGCTGAAGCCAGGTGGACCCCGCTCGTAAGGGACCTGTTGAAGCTGGTCCTCCAAGTACTTGGTGAGGGCTCTCCTGAAGAGCCAGAAGGCTTGTCCAAGAAGAGCGTGCAAAGTAGCAAAGTAATGTGAAAAGTCAGTGGGGTCCAAACCCATAGTATTCTTCTGGCACCCCTGGGGCATTTCCCCCAGGAGGCACGTCACCAGGAGCTCATTGCACCTCCTTTCCTTCACTAATACATGTACCTGCATGTTAGTGCTGTATAACCTGTATGTAGCCTGAACTACGTACAGCACTATGTTTAGGCAAAGGTACGGGGACTTCCTGATTCGTTCCAGGAACAAAATCGAGTTGGGATGTACGATTATCAGCCATTCACAGGAAGCTTTGCATTTTCTGAATGAATATAAAGCTTCCTCTAATTGGCTGAGGTGGAGATGGCGTCATGATTTTCACCTCAGGCAATCAGAGGAAGCACTGTATTTATTAAAAAAAAAATATAAAATTGAGCCCAAGCTTTTTGGGCCAAAATTTTTCATTTGCTGTCCTAGCTCTTTGCAAAACCACTGTCGCCAGACCCGATTATAGCCCTGTTAAACCTCCACCCTCCATCCATTTCTAGATCCCAATTCAAGCTTCTCCTGCAGGTCACCATGGCAGCTAAACAAATTATGGCCAAATCATGGAAGTCGCCATCCCTATGTATTCTAGCTGTTAGAAACAAAGTAACGCAAGCAATGATTCACAACAAAGTGGAAGCAACCAATATGGACTCTGTACCCAAATTCCTAAAGATCTGGAACCCCTGGGTGGAACACTTCCTCCCATCGAATACTGACGATTCGCTGCTCCTCCCTTAACATTTTTCTTTAGTCTCGCCTTATGATGGTCCTACGTGACATTTCCTACACTGGTCCTGTCCTGAACTGCTCCTTCTCTTCTGGAAGTCACATGCCCCCTCTCCCCTTCCTCTGTTCCCCTTCTTGGCCTCCTTTATTCTGTCTTTCTCTTTCCAACCCGATCCCATTTTTTGTTCTTCCTTCATTTCGCATGAAACCTATAGGTAGTCCTGTGGTGCAGTACACCCTAGTTGAACCATAACCATGCTTTACCCCCCCTTTGTATTGCATTTTCCCAAATGTTTAATTTGTTGGAGATACAACAGCATGTACTATATAGTATTGTGTGTTAATATCACTTGACCAGTAGATGGCACTGTACACTAAGGTTACTAGTTGTGCATATGTGTAAAACTTGTTGGTTCTCTCTCTTCCTTCCTCTCTTCCTCTCTCTTAAAACCAAGATGTCTGCTGAAATGTGTTCTGCATGTTTGCAACTTAAGCCACACAAGTAAAACAGAGTTCTGCCTCATCACAAGCTACCAGTGTCTTCTCTAACACATAACCAACATAATTGTGGTTTCCAGTTGTATGTCTTCACATGACTTTTTTCTCCTTGCCTTTGGGCAACATGTTCTCCTAGATTGTAAGCTCGAAAGAGCAGGGCCCTCGATCCCCTCATGTTTTGCATTGTATTGGTATTGTTCTGTCACATGTTCTATCCCCTTTGTAATGTACAGCGCTGAGCGAACTGTTGGCGCTTTATAAATACTGTATAATAATAATAATAATACTTCTGTACTTACATGTCCTAAGCTTGTTTCTAGCTTGGAAAAGCAATCAAATGTTTGGCCAAAAAAAAAAAAAAAATACAAAATTGTATTTTCAGTGCTCAGCCCGACTTGATATTGTTTTAAGAAGGGGACGGGAAGTCCCCATACCACTGCCAGAACACCGTGCTGTATACTGTGGGGTTGATTTACTAAAGGCAAATAGGCTGTGCACTTTGCAAATGTAGTTGCTCCAGAGCTTAGTAATTCAGGTGAGGCTTCACTTTGCAAAAAATACCCAATCACATGCAAGGAAAATAAAAAAAAGCAGCATTTTTGCTAGCACGTGATTGGATGATGGAAGTCAGCAGAGCTTCCCCTTACTTACCAAGGTCTGCATTTGCAAAGTGCACAGTCTATTTGCCTTCAGTAAAGTAACCCATGTATATAGCTGATGCTATGTACAGATTATACAGCACTGACAACGGGTGCATTTCTTAGTAATGTAAATAGTTAATTTGGGCCAGCTTGGCCTGAACTATTTAACTGCCTCCCGCCCGCCATATAAGGTAATGACGGGCGCAAGGCGGTTCTTTTGTTCTGGGAGGATGTCATATGACGTCCTCCCACTCTAACCGGCTCCGGGGGCGCGCAGCGCGGCAATCGGTGGTGCGCTGTGTCCCTGGGACACAGCGGATCACCGATCAACGGAAAGAGCCGAAGATGTCGGCTCGGTCATGTGATCAGCTGTGTCCAATCACAGCTGATCACATGTAAACAGGGAAATGCCGGTTATCAGCATTTCTCTCCTCACAAGCTGTCACACTGACAGAGGAGAGCCGGTAATCTGCATTCCTCGGAGGGGACATCTACACTGATCATCAGGGCACTGATAATCAGTGTGCCCTGATGATCAGTGTAGCCCCAGCAGTGCCACCTGTCAGTGTCCATCAATGCCTCCTGTCAGTGCCACATCAATGCCACACATCAGTGCCTACCAGTGCACATCAATGCCACATATCAGTGCCCATCTGAGCTGCATTTCAGTGCCACCTATCAGTGCTGCCAATCAATGCCACCTATCAGTGCCAGTCAGTGCCACCTATCAGTGCTGCCTATCAGTTCCAGTCAGTGCCGCCTATCAGTGCCAGCTATCAGTGCCATATATGAGTGCTGCCTTTCAGTGCCCATTAGTGATGCCTGTCAATGCCCATCAGTGCCACCTACCAGTGCCTCCTCATCAGTGCCCATAGCTTAGTGAATGCGGTAAAGCTCTACTGACTTTCATCATCCAATCTTGTGCAAGAAAAATGTTTAGTTTTTTTTTTTTTTCCTTGCATGTGATTGGGTATTGTTTACACCATATAACGAATCTATGGAGCAAATTCCTTTGCAATGTGCAACCTCCCTTGCAAAATGCAGTTTATTTGCCTTTAGTAAATCAGCTCCACTGTCTTGGCCTTTGCATAATGAAGACATCTCAACAACTCACATAAATGTAAAGAAATGGAAGCTGTTATAGATTTTATCTAACAATATCATTCTATGGCGCAACCCTGGTCCACATGGGACATAGGAGCCAAATGAATAACCATTACACAAGTCCATAAGGTCCAAACTATTAAAATAGTCCATATATAGATTGTGCACCATGCAGGGGCGGACTGACCATTTGGAAACTTGGGCACTGCCCAAGGGCCCGGGGTCAGTAGGGGTCCCCATGAGATGCCCCTGGTACCTTTTTCATAGGCTTTTTTGACTTTGGACAAGGACACAGGGGCCCCATGATCCCCTATTGCCTGGGTGCCCCATGAGTTGTCAGTCCGCCCCATGGGAACCCTGGATGCCCAACTTTCTGACGCGTTTCGAGGACTCAGAGCCAACCTAGGCCAGTGCGCCCTCTTTTTGTTTTTTTTTCATTTGCATTTAGTGACTTTGGACCACCCCGGTCTGTTGAGGGCAGCAAGCAGTGCATATTCCAGAACATTCATATTGTCTCTGCTGAGTCCATCCCCAGCGCAGGAGAAAAGTGTTTGCTGTGTCTGACCTTCCTTGTTCATGCTTCCCTTCCTTTACCCCTTTCTTCCTGGTTTCCTTCCCATACTACATCCGTCCCCTTTTTTTTCTTTTGTCCTTTTCTTCTTCCCTCTGTGCCCTGTCTTTTCCCTTTTTCTTCGTGATTCCCCTGTGTAACCATAGTTTTTGTGTTGATTTCCCAATCAATGGGGAATCCCTTGTTGAAATAATTTTCCCAGTTGGGTTTTGCCTGAGATCCCTGGTGGGTTCTCTATTCCACACGTCTTGAGATCTCCGGATGGTTGGTTGTCCGTGTGGCCTGTGTTGTTGGTATCTGTATTTGGACCATTCACATACCGGCCGGTCGGGGCCACACAGTACCATGCGCTTGATTTTAATTTTGTTCATGCCTATCTCGGTTTTTTACCATGCTGTTGTTTGTTGACTTGATTATTGGTTATGTTTGACCCATATACTGCCATTTGCTATGTAACTTTTCTGTACTTCATATTGTACGTATTTTGGCTACTCTGCAAAAAAATTATAAATAAAAAGAAATTGCAAAAAAAAAAAAACCAAAGCTGAAAAAGTCAGCTAACGTTACCAACATTCTCAAAACACGCCGTGTACATGGAGTCTAAATGTGAGTGCAGTACTGATGATTTTTAACCCCTTCCCATCCGGCCCATGTATATAAACGGCCGGACGGTGGGCAGTGCAGGGTTGGGTGGCCGTTTATAAACTGCCTCCCACACTTCCTGGGAGCACACAAACACCGCGATCCAATGCCCACTGTGTCCTCTGGACACAGCAGAACACCGATCATCCGACGGGACCTCTCTGCGAGGTACCGATCATGTGACAACTGATTGGACAATCGGTGATCACATGAAGAGTAGTAAGCAAGTAGTCACTTCTGACATCATTGCTTACTACGTGTGAAATCTGTGAATGATCACAGAGATCACATGGTACAGGGCTATTCACAACAGCCTTGTACCATGTGACAAGTTGTGACCAATCACAGCTCACACAGTATTTCTCAACGGCTGCAAGAATGCAACCAAAGAGAAAGAGAAATGATTGCTTTTACAGCCTTTATGGGTGTAAAAGCAATCAGTGTAAAAAAAAAAAAAAAAATCTTCATCACCCCCACAAGTAGTACAGTGTCACCATGGTGACACTGTACTGCTAGGGTGACAGTACGTAAAAACCCCATAAATAATAATATAAAATGGTAAAAAAAAAATGTTTAAAAATTATAATTTTTGGTTATAAACTAATTAGTTTTTTTTTGTTTTTTTTCACTAAAAAGATAACGGAATAAATTTTGGCCAAGATTTTATGATGACATATTATTTATTTGCAAAATTTTATAAGAAAAACTTTTATAAAAAAGAAGGAGAAATGATTGCTTTTACAGCCTTTTATGGGTGTAAAAGCAATCAGTGGAAAAAAAAAAAATCATCATCGTCCCCCACAAGTAGTACAGTGTCACCATGGTGGCACCGTACTGCTAGGGTGACAGTATTTAAAAAAAAAAAAAAAAATAAATAATATTAAAAAATTAAATAAAAATGTAAAAATTTTTTTTTAGAAAAATTGGTTATAAACTAATTTGGGTTATTTTTTTTTTTTTCTAAAAAGATAACAATACATTTTGGCCAAGATTTATGAAGAAATATTATTTATTTGCAAAATTTTATAATTTTGTTTCACAATTTTTGGACTTTTTCATTTATATAGCAAAAAAAAAAAAAATCCCAGTGGTGAACAAATACAACAAAATAAAGCTTTATCTGTCTCAAAAAAATGCTAAAAAATTCATATGGGTACAGTGTTGCATGACCGCGCAATTGTCATTCAAAGTTTGATAGCGCTGAAAGCTGAAAATTGCCCTGGACAGGAAGGGGGGGAAAGTGTCCGGACTGGAAGGGGGTGAAAGTGTCCGGACTGGAAGGGGGGGGAAAGTGTCCGGACTGGAAGGGGGGGAAAGTGTCCGGACTGGAAGGGGGGGGAAAGTGTCCAGACTGGAAGGGGGGGAAAGTGTCCAGACTGGAAGGGGGGTGAAAGTGTCCAGGACTGGAAGGGGGGTGAAAGTGTCCGGACTGGAAGGGGGGGGAAAGTGTCCGGACTGGAAGGGGGGGGAAAGTGTCCGGACTGGAAGGGGGGTGAAAGTGTCCGGACTGGAAGGGGGGGAAAGTGTCCGGACTGGAAGGGGGGCAAAGTGTCCGGACTGGAAGGGGGGGGGAAAGTGTCCGGACTGGAAGGGGGGGCAAAGTGTCCGGACTGGAAGGGGGGGAAAGTGTCCGGACTGGAAGGGGGGCAAAGTGTCCGGACTGGAAGGGGGGCAAAGTGTCCGGACTGGAAGGGGGGGGCAAAGTGTCCGGACTGGAAGGGGGGCAAAGTGTCCGGACTGGAAGGGGGGCAAAGTGTCCGGACTGGAAGGGGGGGGAAAGTGTCCGGACTGGAAGGGGGGCAAAGTGTCCGGACTGGAAGGGGGGCAAAGTGTCCGGACTGGAAGGGGGGCAAAGTGTCCGGACTGGAAGGGGGGCAAAGTGTCCGGACTGGAAGGGGGGCAAAGTGTCCGGACTGGAAGGGGGGGTGAAAGTGTCCGGACTGGAAGGTGGGGGTGAAAAAGTGTCCAGGACAGGAAGGGGGGGTGAAAGTGTCCGGACTGGAAGGGGGTGAAAGTGTCCGGACTGGAAGGGGGTGAAAGTGTCCGGACTGGAAGGGGGGTGAAAGTGTCCGGACTGGAAGGGGGTGAAAGTGTCCGGACTGGAAGGGGGGGGAAAGTGTCCGGACTGGAAGGGGGGGAAAGTGTCCGGACTGGAAGGGGGGGAAAGTGTCCGGACTGGAAGGGGTTAATAAAGGGTTTCTAGTGCTGCACTTAGAGGCCCCCACCCCCCCCCCCCCCCCCCTTGTGGTTTCTCTTATAGATGTTATCTATCTATAAAAGAAATACTCTAAATGGGATGACTGTATGTGGCAGCTCTGAGCGCTCTCATTCGTTGCTGTGTATGACGCATGGCATTAGGTGACATATAGGTACATAGGTCATCGTGTTTTTCCCGTACTTTACATTGTTATCTTGGTCTGTCTGAATCATGGTAATAAAAGGTTGCAGGTGAATGGCCGGCATGGCGATGAAGACTCCTGGGACTATGTCTTCTGCTGGAAATATCACATTAGGATGAATGGAGGTTCCTCTAAAATGCCATAAAAATACATATCTGGGGATAGAATTACAGGAACATTCAGATCATAGCCTCCGAGCCATAGAGGTATACAGGGGCGCACTGACAACTCATGGGGCCCCGGGCAATAGGGGATCACGGGGCCCCTGTGTCCTTGCCCAAACTCAAAAAAGCCTATGAAAAAGGTACCAGGGGCATCTCATGGGGCCCCCTACTGACCCCGGGCCCTTGGGCAGTGCCCAACTTTCCAAATGGTCAGTCCGCCCCTGGAGGTATCATACCAGTACAATGTATCCTCATGCGCTGCCGCGACCTCACCCAGAAAGCAAGCCCCTAATTATGAGCGGCTGCCAGCACCTAAGGCTAGGTTCACACCTACGCAGGTTGTGTTTGAGCCGTTTCTGCATTGCGTTTTGCACCTGTGTTTTTGCTGCGTTTTTGATGCATTTTGCTTTTTTTTTTTTGCATTTTTTTTATTAAAAATTTTTCTTGTTGCTAGGCAGATTTAAAATACAAAACGCATCAAAAATGCGGCAAGAACGCAGCATAGGAAGGAAAAATGTCACCAGCACACCGAGGATCACCAAAGTGTGTCCAAAGGTTTTAATAAACGATCACATAGTTACAGCAAGGCAACGTTTCGGAGTCTCACAGGACCCCTTCATCAGCATAGACCCCTACGATTTTACCACGTTTAGGGTGCGTTTTTCATAGGTCACGTGACTCAAAAGAACACATAAAACACATAAAAAACCCAATGTGCACAGGGGCGGACTAACCATTTGCAAAACTCGGGCACTGCCCGAGGGCCCGGGGTCAGTAGGGGGCCCCATGAGAGGCCCCTGGTACCCTTTTTCATAGGCTTTTTTGAGTTTGGGCAAGGACACAGGGGCCCCATGATCCCCTATTGCCCGGGGGGCCCCATGAGTTGTCAGTCCGCCCCTGAACACGCATGCGTCTTTGCTGCATTTTCAGTGCATTTCAGGCCTGGTTCACACCAATGCAGTTTTGCGTTTTGTCTGTTTTGCATTTTTGAACCTACGGTTTTGATGCTTTTTTCAGGCACTTTGCGTTTTTTTTTAAAATTTTTTCTTTTTTTTTATGGCCAACTTGTTGCTGGGCACATTAAAAACACAAAACACCAAAAAAAAAAGTGTGAAGAACGCATCAAAAACGCACCACATGCTTTTCTGCAGCGTTTCCATTGAAGTCTATAGAACCAAAAATGCAACTTTTTGCGTGCAAAAAAGTCCCTGACCCTTTCAAAAAAACGCACCGGGTGAAAACGCGCAGATGTGAACGTGTCCCATAGGAAATCATGTTAAATGGACTGTACTGCGTTTCTGTAAAACGCTGCGGAAAAACGCTTAGGTGTGAACCTGGGCTGTAGAACCAAAATTGCAACTTTTTGCGTGCAAAAAGGTCCCTTACCCTTTCTGAAAAAATACATGGGGATCCGTTTTTCATCCATTTTTCATCCGTTTACAGATGATCATGCGTTTACATCCGCTAGCCCTTAGTAATACATGGGGGGTCAGTTTTAATCCATTTATAATCCCTTTTCATCTGTTCTACGTCTGTTCAATTTTTATTTTTATTTTTTAACGGAAGAAAAATAGGGCTTTCGTCCGTTCAAAAAACACACGGGGGTCCGTTTTCCATCCATTTTTCATCCATTTACAGATGTTCATCTGTTTACATCCACTAGCCCATAGAAATACATGGGTGTCCGTTGTACATGCTTTTTTCATACCGTTTACATCCGCTAGCCCATAGAAATACATGGGTGTCCGTTTTTCATCCATTTTTCATCTGTTTTAAGTCCGTTACGTTTTTTTTTTAACTGAAGAAAAATAGGGTTTTCTTCCGTTAAAAATAAACAGATGTTAACGGACGCGGACATTAACGGATGTAAACAGATGATCCTCCATTTACATACACTAGCCCATGGATGAAAAATGGACACCCATGTATTTCTGTTTACAGATGTTCATCTGTTTATATCCGCTAGCCCATAGAAATACATGGGGGTCCGTTTTTCATCCGTTTACAGATGTTCATCCGTTTACATCCGCTAGCCCATAGAAATACATGGGGGTCCGTTTTTCATGCGTTTACAGATGTTTATTCATTTACATCTGCTAACCAATAGAAATACATGGTGTCCATTTTTCATCTGTTTACAGATGTTCATCCATTTATATCTGCTAGCTCATAGAAATACATGGGGGTCCGTTATTCATCCATAAACGGACAGATGAAAGACGGGCATACGGAAACGCCCACGTGAAAGTGGCCTAAATCAACCCCAATCAATGCAGCTGTGAACTAACATACGACTTGGCAAGAGATCTCATTCTCAAACCTTTCCGCACATACTGTATGTACAAATGAGAATAAATACCCGG